TTTTTTTTTTTTTTTTTTTTTTGCGTACAGGCCGTGCAACAACATCCATCAATTTGAGGGCTGTTTCCTGATAGGTCAGGTAAATTTAAACGGTTTTAAAAAGTCCAACGGTTGCATAGTTTAATACTTGAATTTTTTTAGTCTGTCTGCAAAAACACTTGAGAATCTTTTATTTTGAGAACACGTTGTGACTGGACAATTTTTCTCCACGTGTCCGGTTTGAGTGTCCGCACTGCAATGTACTAGTTTAGTCTTGATGGTCTTTTTACCCACAGTAATGTTGTTAAAATGATTCAGTGTTTACCGACTACTAGCCGCTGCTTCTCAGATTAATGTTAACAATCAAGAACATAATTAAAAAAATCTTACCATAGAAGATAAGTGAATTGAAAGTTACTTTTTAACTGTTATCGTTACCTTCGGAGGGTCATGAGTTCGATTCTACGGGGATCGGACTTTTTTCTAAGCTTTCTGGTGTTAGATTTCTCCTTCTTCCAAATTAATGTAGTTTAAGTTTTGTTTTATCAAGTTGCATGATTTCATTTACATTAAACATATGATTTATATGGATGGGCATTAACAAATGCTGCGTCGCTTTTTCTTGTTTTATTTATATGTACTTCATCGCCTTTAGTATAAGCAACATAAAGCAGCTAACAGTTGTGCCGTTTAATTTTGATTCGAGATTTTCAAAAAAACTTGTTATTAACTGCCAGTTATCTTTTGGTTTGAATGTTTTAGTTTTCAATGAGAACAAATACTTTTGTCTCCAGATTATTAGTGCTTGCTTTTTTCTTCTTAATTGTCTGATTTTCAATATTAAAACTAAACAGTAAATGTAGGAGCTGCTCGTAAGGTGTTTCCTCATTGGTCGCAGAAAACAATAACACATCGTTGTTTATCATTATTTCCCACTTATTTCGCAGTTAGGGTACCGAACCAATTGGCATTTAGGGTTAGGAGAGCAGCTACATGCAGAGAATTATAACGGAGAAATTTTGGTAGTCACGTGGTGGTACGTCTACCCGTCGCACTATCCGACGATCTGCATCACAGGGCGCCAATGTGAAATGTAACACTTTCCAGCTAATGTGGGTAACTGAAACCTATCTGAAAGTCAATATTTTAGTGTACATCAATGTTTCTGTGTAGATTACATATAATCAAATGCGCGATAAAAACAAATAACTCATAAAATATTAAAAATAAAACGTACATTAATTACAAAGGCACTTTAAAATTAATTACAAAAAAGGTAAGTATATGCAAAAAAAAATGTAGAAATAAATAAAATTATAGGATAGTGTACGTATGAAAGTTACCAGCTTTCAATTTTTGTCAGCCGGAATTAAGTTGATTGTTTCTTGTTTACGGTGAAAGGTGAACTCTCTCAGAGGGCCTTTTCGTGAAAATCACAGTAACTACCAGACCTGGAAAACTGCTTTATTCAGGATCGAAGTTTTAAAATTTAAGGACATTAAATGAAACCAACAGTTAGTGAGACAAAGTGTTTCACGCCTTTAAAATTTAGCGACTTTGCGAAGCGATACATTCGTTATCTTTTAACAAATCACTCTCAACTTGCCAACTTGCTGTTGTAAATGTTTCATTGAATTTTCATTCATGTCATGACGGCGACTCAATAATTGTTCCTTGTCCCGTGCCGCTTAACTTGTTTTTTGAAGCCAGTGAGTTTGACTTTACCGTAAAATTCAGAAAATAAGCCCCCGGGCTTATATTTTTTAAAGGCCCTTTTTGAGGGGCTTACATTCGGAAGGGCTTATCTACGGATGGAAATTTGCGTTTCAAAATCGATTGGGCTAGCCTTATAGTTGGAAGTAAATTTACCGTTTTTGCTTTGTTTTACTTTGTATTTGAGGGCAATTTTCCAAGTACAAGCCACCTGGGGCTTATATTTGGAGGGGCGATTTAACGGAGGGTTTTTTGCGTTACCGGTTTGGAGGGCTTATATTTGGAGGGGCTTATTTTCGGAATTTTAGGATATTTTACTTCACCCTTTGATTAAGCAACTTGTAACGTTTTGTAAGGAGATTCTGTTTTCATTCACTTTTTTTCAAGGTCTTTTAGGTCTTAGATTTCGAGACACCGATTGCCACCGACCTACCATACAATAAAGTTTTGATTACAGAGATTTCCTCCAATAACCCAATCCAATTCACAGATATCATTTAAATAAATGTCTAAGTGCGTGATTTAAATCGAATTTGGAGTATACCAATGCGTGGTGAACTCAGAAAGTAGAGGGCGAACCTGTATGGGCCTAATTCACTAGGGTGCGAACTTACTGATATTCCTTGTTTTCGGTCTTAGATCACAGCGGTCAGTCAAAATGTCGCGTGAATCAAATATTTTGCAAGACTAAATAGATAAAATAAAATATGACTTCTTGTGATCAAAGTAAAGTTTTCAAAAAAAACAAAATGATCCTGTGGTCTTTTTCCTTATGGAAAATACTTGTTTGAGTTGAAACTCCATACATTATTTTAAAATTTACATCTAACTAAATTGGACGGCGCTTGTTCTGTCTGTGATCGCTAAAATTACTGCAAGCCCTCAGTAGAGCAGCACACTAATCTTTGGGTCTCCTGTGGTTCCTTGGGTGTAATGTCACTATTTAGATGTTACAATCTGGATTTATGATTGTCAGGAAGATTTTTAGCAGTTCATTTGTTATTAATATGATAAGGGTTCAATTTAACTTAGCCTTTCTTTGTCCTCACCTGCAATATCAGTGGACAATCCTCTTTTCTCCAACTTTAGAGCAAACTTTATAGCATCAATAGTTAAAGGATTACCACTCACATTCAGGCTCTTCAGCTCCTTTAGGTCACCAATCTCAGCAGGTAATTCAGTGAGATTGTTTCCACCCAAGTCTAGACATTGAAGCCTATTCGGCTTTTGAATACTGGTAGGTAAACCAACCAACTGGTTGTTACTCACACTTAGGTGGTCCAGCTCCTTTAGGTCACCAATCTCAGTAGGTAATTCAGTAAGATTGTTTCCACCCAAGTCTAGCCTTTGAAGCCTGTTCAGCTTTTGAATACTGGTAGGTAAACCAACCAACTGGTTGTTACTCAAATTCAGGTGGTCCAGCTTCTTTAGGTTACCAATCTCAGCAGGTAGTTCAGTAAGATTGTTTCCACGCAAGTACAGTTTCTCAAGCCTGTTCAACTTTTGAATACTGGTAGGTAAACCAATCAACTGGTTGTTCCTCACACTCAGGCCCCACAGCCCCTTTAGGTCACCAATCTCAGCAGGTAATTCAGTAAGATTGTTTCCATCCACGTCCAGCCATTGAAGCCCGTTCAGCTTTTGAATACTGGTAGGTAAACCAACCAACTGGTTGTTACTCACACTCAGGTGGTCCAGCTCCTTTAGGTCACCAATCTCAGCAGGTAATTCAGTAAGGTTGTTTCCATCCAAGTACAGCCATTGAAGCCTGTTCAGCTTTTGAATACTGGTAGGTAAACCAACCAACTGGTTGTTCGTTACATCGAGCTCCTCCAGCTCCTTTAGGTCACCAATCTCAGCAGGTAATTCAGTAAGATTGTTTCCATCCAAGTACAGCCATCGAAGCCTGTTCAGCTTGTTAATACTTGTTGGCAACTCAGTCAGATTATTGTCTTTAAGCCTTAGTTCCTCCACTTCACTCAGTTCAGTGACTGCATCAGGTACCCTGGATAGTCCTTTTCCATCCAGATTCAAAGTTGGTCTTCCAACTATATTTTCTATTACTTTAGCTCTCAATTTAGCACTGGAATAATCCTCCATGTTTAGGATTATTAAAGCAGACTTGTCCTTTTTATTATATAACTAAAATGATAAAAAAAGAATGTGCAGTAAGCAAACTAAACATTATTATCAGTCAATGTTTCTAAAAACCACGTCGATGAATTCTGTAGTAAAATAAGAAAAGAAAAGAAATCTGTTGCTATTGTTGTTAGTTTTCACTACCTGCCCAGGGTAAGGCCAGCATTATTTCATGTTGAAAACAAAATGATTCTCAATGAAATGAATGAATGATAACTTTATTTATGCACGGTTAAAAACATCAGCCTAACATAGAACATTAATTAAAAATTCTCAAAAACTGTTTTACATATTTGCCGTGTGGGAGTACTGATCAGAAAACCATCTATGGGAACTTCTCTTAAAGAGACCTAAGGAATTTGATGTGTGTATTTCCTCAGGAAGACTGTTCCATAGAAGAGCGCTACTATAACTAAAGCTACGCTTCGGGTAGTCAGTTCTTGGTTTTGGGAGTATTAATTTATCTTCGCGTTGCGAAAATAGTAATTCGGTGTTCTTGGGACAAACAAATTACAGAGATAAGCTGGGGAGAGATTATTAATGCACTTGTACATTAAATTAGCCTTTTGTTTAGCCCTTCTAACCGATAAATTGTCCCAACCAAGCGAGTTAAGAAAAAATCTGGAACTAGTATCATAGCTAGATTTGGTGATAACTCTGCTGGCACGATTTTGAAGTTTTTGAAGTTTCTCACTAAGCTGTTGGGTCAAGCCAAGACCCATACAGCGCTGCAATAATCGAAGTGTGGATCGATAAGACCTTTGCATATTTTAATTGCAGTGTGCATTGAAACAAATGGCGTGACCCGCTTAAGAGCACCGATACCAGAGGATAATTTTTAGAGATTTCATGAATGTGGACCTTTCATGAGAGATTTTCATCAATGATAAGCCCGAGAGATTTGCTTTGATTGCTTTGGTTTATTGGGACGCCGTCTATATGAATGTTCATTGTGTAGTCATTTAACGAAAGACCAAAGCGATGCTCGCTACCGGTAAATTGATCGAGAAAAGAATCCCAGTTGCAAGTAAATTAAATACCACCGAACTTAAACAAGTGAGCTCACAAAAACTTTTAGGTGTCACAATTGGTCAGAAACTCTCTTTTGATGACCATATTGACGAACTCTGTAATAAGCTCTGACAACGAATTGCCGTGCTGAGTAAGATTAAGTGATTTTTTCCTTTGGAACAGAGGAAAGCGTTTTACAACGCCATGATAAAGCAAACAATGCTGTATGCCTCCAATATATGGTCCGCGTGCTCCACTGGGAATTTGCAGAGGGATTTTCGTCCGGTCAGTATAAAACAGGGACTGCCGACTGCGGACTGGGTATAAAATACGGACTAGGTATAAAACGCGGACTGGAAAACACTGACTGGGTATAAAACACGGACAAGGTATAAAACGCAGACTGTGGACTGCGGACTGGGTATAAAATACGGACTACGGACTACTTTGGTAAAAACGGTGTTAATTGGTTCTAGGTAAGGAAAATTAAGATCAAAAGATCGCTAAATAGCAAGACACGTGAGTTAAAGTTGTAAATACTCCTATAAATCAGTCTTAGTGGAGGTGTGCCTCTCGGTTCTCTGAATCATAGGCGGGATCAAAATGCTATTTTCTTCACCCATTTCATTAGACTTTGTCTCGGTCTCTAACAATCATGAAAGGGGTCAGGATCAGGGGTGGTACTCCCTTATATAATGGACGGCTGGGAGTTTTGGGCCTTTTGGTCTGAAAACACTTTGCCCATTTTGGTGTGGAATCGGGTATGGTTTTCGAGGGAACTACGGGAGCGTACATGAATGGACGTATTTATCGTTTCAATTCCAAATGAATAAGAACGTAATAAAAATGTGCGAATTCGAAACGCATTTGGATAATTTTTTTGTTTCCGCTCTAACTTGGGAATGATGAGATAGTTGGGTCCGCTGAATTGAGAAAGCGAAAACACGAAAATAAAACGGGAGAAAACTGGGGAGTCTCCCCAACTATCTGAGAGCCTGGAACAGGCTAAATTAGGCCAGGTCCGAAAATGGGTATGGATTTTAGAAATCTGGTCTGAAAAAGGGTGTGGAAAATGACATTTTTTGGTCTGCAATAAGGTCAGGATTCGGAGAACCGGGCACCACACACCCACCAAGAATTCCCAGTAGTACCACCCTCCGGGGATCAGGAACAGGGTGTAAATCATGTAATCATAATCATCGCGTAGAATATAACGTTGGATGACTCATTTCGGTTATTATTTAATTTGAAACGGAATTGTGTCATCCGATAAGAATTTTACTGATCTGACTAACACCAATACTATTTTTTTAAATTCGGTGCTTCTTATTGGTTTAAAACTGCAAATTGAAATCTCTTCTAACTCCCCCTTTTCATAAAATTCAGAGTTTAATTTCAGTTGCCTTGAGTACCGGCATGACCTTCCTTCTCCGTGGGAAGAATAGACTACGTGAACAGCTAAGGGAATGTTAAAGCTGGGACTACTGTTTTTGCTAGTCCGCTTTCCATTTCTCTCAGTTTTACCTTTCTAAAGTCGTTTTTATATACATAGTCCGTAGTCCGCGTTTTATACCTAGTGCGTGTTTTATACTCAGTCCGGAGTCCACATTTTATACTTAGTCCGTATTTTAAACCCAGTCCGCAGTCCGCAGTCTGCAGTCCGCAGTCCGCAGTCCGTGTTTTATACTGACCGGTTTTTCGTCTCCAGAAGCGAAGTGCACGCATTATCCTTGACGCCGAAACGCGAGCAAACAGTGATGAACTGTTTACGAGATTGGATTGGCTTCCCCTTCACCTTGAGGTGAAGGTGAACATCTGTGTTCAGGTTTACAAACGTATTAATGTGCGTAGCCCAGGTTATATGAGTGATCTGTTGGTGTTGAATTCGGACATTAATGAACGAAATAACAGAAATAACTCCTTAAACTTAGTCTGCCCTCGCCTCAAGCGTCAAATCGAGGCGGGGGGGGGGGGGCGGGGGGCGGAGGACGTACATTTGGTGTGAGGGCAACAAGATTGTGGAATGCACTGCCAAATTCTTTAAAGAAGATTGAACGTGTACATAGTTTTAAAAAGGCCTTACTTGACTTTTATGCTTGTTCTTAATTTTCTTTGTTGTATTTTTATTGTTTGATAACTTCCTATTCACAACTTTAATTGTACTTTTTACTGTTGTATTTTTAATTGTAATTTTTCGGATTATTGTATGTATATTTTCAATTGTGATTGTTAACTTTTTATAATGAGGGTCGCAGGTTTGTCAGTTTACTGTTTTGCGTTACCCTCTTTAAATAAAGTTGATACATACATACATCAGTCCAAAAAATGTGCAAAATTAACGCAAGCTGGTTGTCATGAGAAACAAGGTGACAATTAATGTTAATAATCAACTTTTGGCAATCGATTACTAAACTGATATGAATTCCAGTGAACCTGGTTTACGAAAATCATATTACTGATTATTCCAATAGAACAGAGCGGGCGATGACCATGTCAATTTAACAGCAGAATGCACAAATATTTTACCTTAGTGTATGCTCCAGTGCTCCATCTAAAATGTTTTAAGACAAAGCTTACGCCAATGTTTAATATGGAAAAACATTCTATGTATTGCAGATTTTAGGAAAAACATAATTTATCTGGCTTAGACTGTTGGTTATTACTAACTGGTATGCATCTTTAGCTTTCTTTTATTTTATTCATTATGCTGTCTTTCCTTTAAATTTTTATTTTGTGCTTTGTGTAGGTGTTTAGGTTATTATTATTAGGTGTTTAAGCAAAACATGTTAAGATAATAGAAAATTATTGCACCAAACTTCAAAGGGTTTGCCCTTCTGAAAGTCGGCCGCATGTCCGTGGAGTGTTCGGCCCGTGAAGTATGCATATTCAGCGCACAGAGCAATAACTTGTATATATCCATATTAATCGACCCAAAAAATCTGGGTACACACTTAATTAAACCGTGGCAAAGTTGTCATGTGCTGTAGGTCACCCACTCGGAAATTTGGCAAATCTCACTACCTTTTTAATGTTCTCAATACTTTTCCCAGCTCTAGGACGAGAATCTCAAGATTCTTGCCTTTAGGGGTTGGCAAGGCTGCCCTGTAATAGTGTGTGTTCATTCTCGAAAGAGAAGACTGACATGGTAAGATCGGTGGCAGATCAGGTAATAAACAAAGGTCCTTAAAGGACTGCAATCAGTTGGGTACATTTGAACAGCTTTCTGGATAAGAGATGGGGAGAATAGACATGGAATAGACTCTTTCACGGTTTATGACGACATCTTGGCTGGGAGGCAAACACGGCTAAAATTACAGTTAATGTATGGGATTTTGGCCCACTTGGAACCGCTATGACGCCGCTACAAAAAGGCGGATTTCCAACATTTTCCACTACTTTAAATAGTTTTATAGATATCATTCGTTCAATAGAAAAAGAAGTTACGACGTCCGTAAATTCGAATTATAAATCTTATCATGTGGCTTCTAATTTGAATGGTAATTTGCATGATAATGTTGATTAGAGGGGTTTGTATGAAATCGTTAAGGGTCAATGAATCTCTTCTTTACACTTCACGGAATTAATCTCAGTGCAAATTTCTTTTAAAATACATTTTCGCTGTGGAAATCCGCCTCTTTGTAGCGGCTTTATAGCGGTTACAAGTGTGCCAAAATCCCATCGACAATCACTCTAATTTTAGCCGTGTTTGTCTCCCCCACCCCCCCGGCACCCCCAGCCACAATGGCGTCATAAACCGTGAAAAGGTCTATTTGCATACTAAGTAACACTAAGTTTTCAAAATCCTTGAAATGCCCGAATGGTTGCCCGGAGGTGTTATTGATCGATATGTTAGCGCACCAGTCAGATCAGCACTATTGTATGCTTGTAAATCTTAAAAACAAACCACCCACTAGTTTAATTTACTTATGATGAGACATGTCTATATTTACAACGGTATGATACTAACTTTTGGCCATAAAAATATGCCGAACTTCCGCCTGTCAGCAAATTCCATCAGCGAGCAAATGCACATATTTCAAAGGCACAATACGCTTGAACATGTCAAAATGTAAAGGAACACAATCATTAAAGACATTCATTTATATCAAACAACTCTTACCCAGAGAAAAGACCGCTGATCTGAAGAGGAAAGCTTCTGAATGTTCTCTTGTTCCTGTTGATCTTCCGATCTGGGATAAACTTTGCACTGATTTGTTAACCTCGTTCCCAGGGATTCTCTCCCGAAGAGGTTGCTCTGATATAGGTGGACAAGGGCAAACAACCATGGGGGTGGGGGTAAAACACGGGTAGCCTTCCAGGTTCGACTGTTAAGGTCTCCTCTGAACTTTGGTCATTTTTGTTCGAAATTTTAATAAAACGGCTGCCAATAGACTTTTTCACGGTTTATTACGCCATCTTGGCTGGGAAGCAACATGGCTAAAATTAGAGTGAATGTATAGGCTTTAGGCCCATTTTGAACCGCTATGACGCCGCTACAAAGAGGCGGAGTTCCAACATTTGCCACTACTTTAAATAGTTTTATTGATATCATATATTCAGCAGAAGGTTATTAGGGACTTTAAGCATCGACGACGAAATGCGACGACGACGCCGACCGGAAGTTACATTTTTCCCCGCGAAACTTCTGGGCATGCGTAAGGTTGTCAAAACGTCGTCCAGCCTTCGTTGACGACGAAATTCAGGGAGGTTTGCCGTCGTCGCTAAAACGTAAGTATAAAACTATACTTTTTGCGTGAAAATCACTCTTTTTCTCCCTTTTCATACAGTGCAAGTGGAAATATATTCTTTGTGGATTAGCAGAATCCAAATGTTGAGCTCTTTGTCGATTTCTTCGTCTGCTAACTTGAATTTACTTTTCAGGTTCGGTTTGTCTGACCTGAGCGATCGGGGAACAACCAGTCGGAAAGACAAGTAAGCTTTCCTCTGCTATCTTCAGAACCTGTTAGATTAGATGTTGTTCGTTCCCTGACGGTCTCTGTTTACTCCTGCACTCTAGGTTGTATTATACAATAAATGTTCATTTTCGTGCTAAAATTTTTAAAATAATTCCCCATGTTGTTTTTAGCTGCTAGTAAAGGCAGCTATTTCCAGTGGACTCAGCTGGAACATGATGTGGCTATGAGGAGCCCTGAGAGGACAGATATGGAGGAACATTGAGGCAGTACTGAATTCTCTTCAACAGCCGAAATTTAGCGTAACTTCAAGTCAAAAGCTGTTTCAGATAGTTATTCACTTTTAACTTCAAAACAAAAACAAAACTGAGCCGCGCGACGAAGAGAACTGCCTCCAAAATCAAATAATCCAGAAAAAGAAAAAATTCACCATCGTCGATTAACCATCGTCATAGCTTATAAGACGCAAATTACGGAGGTCTTTGAATGCCTTAACAAGACTGTAACAGGACAAAGTTCTTCCCAAAGATAAAGTCGTCGTCTGTCTGGGAAGCTGCACTGCTTAAACTTCGTTTTCCCCGCTGAAAACGAAACACTTGGCCCAGTGTGCCTCGGTTGAGAAACGTCGTTATCGTCCGTTTCGTTGTCGATGCTTAAGATCCCTATTAAAGAAGGTACGACGTCCGTAAATTCGAATTATAAATCTTCTCATGTGGTTTCTAATTTCATGGTAATTTGCCTATATTAAATGTTGATTGGACGGGTTTGTACAAAATCTTAAAAATTCGTTTTCAGTCGTTATAACCTGAATTTCTTCTTTATACTTCATGAAAATAATCTCAGTACAAATCTCTGTGTAGCGGCGTTATATAGCGGTTCCAAGTGGGCCAAAATTCCATACATTCACTGTAATTTTAGCAGCAAAGATGGCGTCATAAACCGTGAATATGCTTTCATTCAGAAACTATATACGCCGAACTACAGAGTAGACTTTTTCGTTAAGTGGTCACGTGAACGTACATCTTCACATACGCCCATGGAGCGTAAACAAAGTGCCTTGAACGTTCTTGTACATAACTAATGGGACCCCGCAACGTTTGTTTTGGAAGAATCGTTGCAAAAATTATATCTTGATTCTGTTACATACTGCTGCACTTGCTGCAGTGACGAAAACATTGTAACATGTCTACTTATATTCAGTTGGGCTTTTTAACATTCCCGACGAGGTTTACCCTCAAGGGCCAACACAATCTGTTTGGTCATGCACTTAACAGGCATTTTAGCGGAGCTCCCGCGCGCGCGAAGCGCGCGTGCAGCGGAGCACCATGGGTAAGAAAATTTGGTAAACTATCCATCCGAGGAAAATTTGGTTATGACGTAGCGTACGCCCACCCGTGCACACACTTCATGTAAGCCGATGTCAAATGTCACAATAGATCTTGCACAACTTGACTAGCCTCTTAGTTATGTAAGCCATCCGTATGAGTACGATTAGATTGACAGCTGTAAAAATCAGTCATCGCTGACAATTATCACATGACCGTCTCGCGGGCTCAGATAAAAGACCAGTCGTTTTGCCCATATATATAAGCTAATATAATATGTCACACCTACCAATTCAACATAAAAACGAAACTACGCCGGGCAAGGCTGTCAGTTAGCTGACAGTCGTTTAAAGTTACATTAGCAAGCCAAATTAAGGTCAATTGACAGCTGTCAAAATGGGATATGTGCAGACCACTATCAGAAAACTAATAACGTGGGCTCAGGTTCGCTCAGGTACACGATCTGGCATTTTCCACTACATGTCTGTTAATTCGAATATTCGCCATTCTAATGAAGGTTAATTGACAGCTGTCAAACTAGAGTATACGCTGACCATCATCACCTGAGT